TCATCTATCATTTTCCTTATTATATTTTTTAGAATCATTATTAGAAGATTTTACTTGTCCGTTGGATTGAGCGTAATATGGTGTGGAGTTTACTAATTTAACTCCAAACTCGCTCAAGAATTTATTCACTTGATCCCCATTCAAAGATGTTTCGTGATCTACCATCAAAGTTTGTGAAATTCCAAATCTATAAATGATGTGATCACGGATAAATTCTATTACATTCTTCTGAGTGATCTCCTTTAAAGGTACCGCCTCTATCCACTTAGTGAAATAATCAGTTGCAATTATAACAAAAGTATGTTGCTTGGACGATGGGGGATAAATCTTCCCTATCAGGTCTATCGCCCAACCCTTGAACGGCCAAGGTTTAATAATAGGTGCCATCTCTCGTGCTGACGCCCTTTGTATTGGACCATGCTTTTGGCATGCTAAACAACTCTTTGCATACTGAACGCATAATTCTCCCATCTTTGGCCAAAAATATCCACTCCTAATAATTAACCATCTCATCTTTTGGCCAGTTTGATGAGCTCCACATATCCCTTCGTGCACTTCAACCATGATCGTCCTGGCTTCTTGCAAAATTACACATTTTAGCAATATTCCATCAGAGCGTTTCTTAAAAAACTCTTCATCTATTAGTATATAGTTTAGCAAACGCAGCTTTATTTTTCTACTATTTCCTTCATTAGGTTTTTTAAGGAACCTTTTAATCTCTGTTCTCCAATCCATTGCGTCTCTATCTTGTATGCAATGAAGTTCAATCTTTCTCGCCCTTCTTTGGATCACGGGCAATATTGTTCCATACTCACAAGTAGACTTCCAATTTAAAACCTTTGAGTACCCTGAGGCCATCTGGGCCAACTCATTTGCCACGTCATTATATATCCTATTAACGCATTGAAGTTCTACTTGGTTGAATTCTTCTAACAACTCTTGGGCGATTTCATATTGACTCATGATGGAATCACTTTGGCATTTAAAATCACCAATCAATTGTTGAATTACCAATTGAGAATCGCCTCTAATGATTACATTCTTTACCCCCATATCTATCATTAGTTCTAGGCCCACGATTAAGGCTTCATATTCGGCCTGATTAATGGTGCACATCCTATCCAAAGTGAATACGAACTTATAGCAAATCCCTAAAGAATTTATCAATGCTACTCCTACTCCTGCACCTTTAGAGGTTTTTGACCCATCGAAATACAACACCCAAGGTTTTAGTTCGAACGAATTGATTTCTAATTCAATTTCTTCAGGCATGTCAAGGCATGGATGATCGGCTAGAAAATTAGCCAAAGCCTACCCTTTGGTGTAAAATAGGGCGAGAGAACATATACTTAATCAAATTTACTCTAGAAATCAAATAAACGGTTACGGGCCATAAATAAGCCCTTAATTTTGTACATGTGAAATACAATGCAAGACATAATTTTTCGATAGCAGAGTAATTACATTCACATTTTGTTAACCGTCTACTCAAGTAGTAAATCGCCCTCTCTTCACCAAATTGGTCTTCTTGCGCGACCATTCTAGCTATTGATTCTTTTTCAACCGATACATACAATTTCATTGGCTGTCATTGGATTGGTGACACCAACACTGGTGGTCTTGATAAATATGTCTTCAGGCTTTCAAAAGCCTTTTAATGTTCTTCTTTTCAGACGAATTCGTCCTGATTTTTCAACTTTAAAAGTGGCGAAAAGACTTTAGTTCGCCCTCTTGATCGAGCATCTAGCTGATGAATGTTGGACGATCTTCTCCTTCATTGCCAATATTTACTTTAATCAGAGGGTCTTGTGCTTGAGCGTATCCAGGCTTGATGATCCACATTACTTCATCTTCCTGCTCCTTGTAAGCACTTTGTCTTCTAAACAATCCACCTTATTGACTTCTCGACCAATACTTTGTTCCAATTCGAATACTGCTAATTTGTCTTTCAACGCTTTTAGGGCTGCCCTTTCTTTCATCTTGTCCTTGTATTCTTTATTGAAAGCCATTAATTTGGCTTTGAAGGCCTGAATATCAGCCATTTTCTTTTGTTTCTTAGAACTCATTCAAGACTCCTTGATTATTCTTTTTGCCAATTACTGGCTCTTCTAGGGCCACTATATTTGGCCTCATCTAACTGAACATTTCAGTGAGTACGTCCACTGAAAATGGCTCTTCACTCTGCGCGACAATCTGAGTTTCTTCCCCATCTTGGACTACCCTGACAGGTCCATAGTTTCCTTTGTACATGAACCTTTCCACTGAGTTTGCTTCAGCGACAAAAGGCCTATGATCGGCCTGCGCCACCTCTGCTTCACCCTTGTTATTCTAAAAAATCAGGCATTGATGGAGCGATGAGGATATACAGCGACTTCCGTGTATCCAATCTCCTCCTAGTAACACATTGTAACCAGTAGGACCATCTATTACACAGAAGACTGTAGTCCTAGTAGTTGTACCTATAGTTATGTCCAATAGCATAACTCCCTTAGCAGCAGTTGCTCCTCCATTGAAACTTATAAGGATGACTTCTGTTGGAATCATATCCCCTTCTGTCTTTGCAAATTTTCTCATCATCCTTGATGGAATAGTGTTTATAGCTGCACCATTATCGACAAGCAATTTTGCCACAGGTATGCCATTAACTAGATTTTTAACGTACAACAGCCTCAAGTGTTTAGTCAACTTCATGGCTGGCCGCTTAAAAATAACCTTTTCGGCAGCCTCTATTTCTACTTCCTGCTTGTCCTCTGTAGAGTTATCCTTTTGTGATAAGTCAACGTGCAGCATATTGCACTGAGCATCTGTCTCCTTAATTTCCTTTTTTACTGTTTTCTAATGCTTCATCTTCAGTTACCCAACCTGTGGGAGGAGGCATTATTCTTGGAGGCGATCCATACTTTTCAGAGCGAGACACTCTCTTCTTCCCTTTGGACGTCCCGTACAGCACGTAAAAATCGAAAGAACGCCCAGATGGTTCTCCCAATAAGTCTATTTCACGAACTCCCTCTCGATGTAGTTACTTCAACAGAGTATTGTACGATACTCCTCTTCTTCTTCTTTCTACTTCCAGGTCAGTTTTCTCTTCAATGTCTGTCATACCATCATCTTCCTCACCATTGTAGGCCTCTCTAGAAGTCTGGCCTTCTTCATATTCCAACACGCATGCTTCTCCTTCATTATCCTCTCTTTCTTCTTCTTCTTTCTCTTTATTCTTGAACTCATTGGCTAGTAAATAGTTATTAGCCACGACAGGAGGTAACGTACTGAACTGAATAGTAAGGGGCTAATCTGGATCTTCTCCATCCCTTCTGTCTCGCTCAAACTTCGATCTCCCAGAAGAAGTTTCAGGCAACTCTTTCATTGATTCATCTGTACCAGTCTCTTCACTGTCTTTGAGAACATTTTGATTGGCTGCCTCGAGTAGTTTAGGTACCTTAGGACGTGGCACTCCCTATTGTTGCCTCATCATTCATCCATAATTTCGTTGGAAATGCCTTTGTTGGGTTCTAGTCATCTCGTTGAAGGGTATCGCCTTTCCTGCATTATATTGGAACGAATGCCATACATTTGGTTGGCAAGGTTTTGGCCTGAATGTTCTCCCATTATTTACTGGCCTGAACTACCTCTCAAAAGGCGGTCCCTTATAGAACGATGTACCTCGCCCTCTACCAGGCTGAGCGTTTGGAAAGCAAGTAGGGCGATGGGGATGCTGCCATATCCCTGGTTTCTCCGTATTCCCACTCACTTCTCTTTTACATCTTGCACACAAGACGTCTTCATCCTTTTTTGGCTCCTTCCCTTTAATACGCTCAAAGATACTGGGATGTGGTCCAGTGTCTTCTTCTCCATCATCTATAACCAACTTAAATTTTGGCAACTTGTTTTTGAAACCAAACGTCACCATATTCACTTCAAGTGGTTGTGGAAAAGGATTTTCATCTACTGCCATCTTTTTCTTATCATCGAACGTAATTCGTCCTGATTCAATGACATCCTGTAGCACATGGCGAAAAACCAAGCAATTGTTAGTCAAATGTGACCATGCATTATGCCACTTACAATATTTTTTATCCTTAATTTATTCAGGGCTTGGCAATTTATGCTTATCGCTCAACTTTATCTGCTTATCCTTATATAATTTATCAAATATAAGGTCAGCTTTGGTTACATCGAACGAGAATGTTCTAACTTTTATGTTTTCATCTTTCATAGGCTTATCCTTGCCCGATGGTCTAGGCTTAGCCATTATAGGACAAGTATACGTGTCTCCTTTGACTAATTCGGTCAAACACATTTCGGTCTGATCGTATGACTCGTTATTGATTGTATGAACATCAAAATTTGGGTCTCTATAATAAGTCCTCTTGCTAGAATTTTTTATCTGCTCTTCTTCTCTTATCAATCGTTCATATCTAATTACATTCGCGCTCAATTGGAAAAGGTCAGGAAATTCCTTATCTTGGAATTTCTTTTTCAAATCAAAGTTCAAACAATCTTGAGCGATTTTGACAAACTCTTTTTCGGGCAAAGGTACAAAACATTTACTTCTTGCTGTCTTGAACCTTTGGAGGAAACCTTCTGCCCATTCGTTTGGCATTTGACGTAGATTCGCTAAATCGGCCAAAGTAACTTCAGACTCAGTCTTATAAAATTGAGCGTGGAATAATTGTTCCAATTGTTGCCATGTTTGAACAGAGTTTGCTGGCAAATTGATGAACCAGGAGAAAGCTACTCTTGTTAATGAACTAGGGAAAAGCCTCATTTTATGGTAATCAGTTATGTCTCCACTTTGTAGTGTGAATCGCCCTATGTGTTCTAGAGTAGACACCTCCCCTAAACTGGTAAACAGTGAGAATTCTGGCACTTTATACCCTCTAGGCCATGGATATGCTTGGTCAACCCAATTAGGATATAGCTTTGTGTAAGTTGGCCTAATGACAGGACGTACCCCAAAAGCTATCTAATCCTGTACGATTTCCATAATTTGATTCCTCAACATGACGTTGGGATTATATGGAATTCCTGCAGGTTGGTTAATCGGTTGATTTGTTTGAGGCCTGATGTTTGATCCTTGATTGGCAACAAAGTTACCATAATTTGGGCCATTGTTACCATTAGCCTGAACATTTATTCCCTCATTAACACATGGTGTATTCTACCCATTATTTAGGACATTATCTCTTACATTTGGATTACCCCCCAAGTTAGGCGTACCACTACCATTATTCTGATTTGGCACTACACCATCCCCTGGTTTGAAGTAGAGGGACCAAAAGGTGGTTCTACCCCTTGATTTTGATTTAGGACTGGGGGATTATGTCCCACAATTGTCCTAGTTTGAAAGTGATTTGCAAGAGGCATAACTGGTTGGCAAATTTGGCCTACTAACTTATTCATTATTTCATTCAAAGTATTCAGTTGTTTGGCCATGTTGTCATAATGTGCATTCCCATTCTGGGTAAATCTTTCCATATTATGAATATTTCAAAGATTTACCTGTTCAATGACATCTTATGTGAGTTCTCCAAGTAGTGCACGCATAGTTTGAGGACTCAACTCTGCCATTGATTCGTAATGACTGTTACTGCTCTGATTTTGTCCATCTGTTCGTGGAAAGCTATGCTGTTCCTCATATCGCTCGATCACAGACTGGACTCCTCTCTTACTTGCTGCTTCCTTATCGAATCTCTGAGGCATATTGTTTCACCTTTTGTATCTTCAACACCAAACACCACTGTCCCACTGGGCGTGTCAAATTGTTTGGCGCGGGTTAGTCGCTAACAATTAAAAAGGGATCAGACGATTGTGTAAGGGACAAACCTCTTGAGACAAAGTCCTAAAAAGGGGTATTTTTATTGGCGATGACTTTACAATTGGAAAATAAAATAGAATGCCTCCAAGGGGTGCAGGCACACGAGTTACTGAAAAGAAGTGTTTAAATCTAAACTAAGAAATTGAAAGTTACATATTCTCTATTTGAGAGTGTTTGATTCGGGGTCTTTTGCTCCATGTCTTTTCTTCCTTTTATACTCCCTGGATGATCTCTTCGTGATCAACCGCTTAAAAACTGCTTGATCGCTCTATAACTGCCCACTTTCTTCATAGTGGCTAACTTGTCATGGAGCTGCCTTCTCTAACTGCTGCAATTACTTTTTGTCGTTCAACCGTCTTCAATTGAATTCCTTGAATCGTGGAACGTGATAGGGCTACTCAATAACTGCTTCATTAACCGCACCTTTGGATAACCATAACATCTTATGTTTGCTAAGATCTTGGGCGACTCGAAGGTTTGGACGAGAACAGGGTCATAGTTCTGGGCGACTGCATGGCAATCCATTCGCTCAAATCTTGGTTGACTTGTAACCTTGGACGATGGTATTACCACGTTCATGGGCTTCCCTATTTGGGCGTTTATCCTGCAATGCCTGATTGGGCCGTTCTTTGGGCTATCTGATTTGGGGATCCTCCAATTGGGCTTCATTCCTTGGGCTATTCGATTTGGGCTGAACTTTTGTGTGTCAACACATACCAATCTAAAGGTCCTATGCAAATTCAATTATCATAAACCCATTAGAACTTACAAAGTTAAGAAGGAATAATGGGAAAGTTTAGTACTTTAATGTTTATGTTTTGTGCATTGGTTATAGGCATGGCCATGCCTATGGCATATGCGAATGCACAAGAATATGCTAGGTTCCAAAACATCTACCTAGGAAAGGAAACAACTACCAGCATTCAAGTTTTTGTACAAGACGAACTAGGCGGTCAGAACCCAACTGTCTGGGAAGTAGCATGATGCAACTTTACATCTAATTCAGCAACATCGTTTGGTCAAATCAAAGTCTTAGATGACCTATTAACAACTGGACCTGATCGCAACTCAAATAGAGTGGGTCGGGTTCAAGGGCTTATCACATCTGCTGACTTTCAAGAATCAGCCCTGAAAATGAACCTCAACTTTATATTTACATCAGGGCAATACAATGGAAGTACATTGTGCATGCTGGGGAGGAATCCACTGGGCAACCAATACAGAGAGTTGGCCATTGTTGGAAGCACCGGAGTTTTTCGAATGGCCCGTGGATATGCCATTACAAACACTTACTCGTATGATGTCGTAACTAGTTATGGTGTTCTAGAGTACAATTTTTATGTTGCTTATGTTGATGCGTCCCGTGTGGATCAGTGAACAAGTAATCCTTAGATTAAACGTTCTTTTTTTTGAGTATTTTTCTATTAAATAAAACTATATATGGTTAAGTTGAAATGATTTTACCATTATATTCACAATATTCTTGAAATTGTCAATGAAGCAGCCAACTTTGTTGAAGGTATTCAAACGAGAAAATAATGTTCTCTTAAAGAATAAATCTTGGTAGTTAATAGTGCGGATTCTTGTGGTGATATATTAAAATTGTTTGATTTTAAGGGGAAGAGTAAAAGTCTTGAAAACAAATAGAGTTACCTTTTTTTAATTTACTAGTTTTTTGCACATCTATTACACATTCAGTGACGAATTCAAGAATTCGAGTGAGCTAGGGTGATCGTTGATCATTAACAGCTGTCAATGGCCACAATAGCAAGATTGTTCATTGACGACGGTTATTTTAAGTTGTGACTATAGTTAGCAATGTGCTCTACTTATATCCCATATGTTCATATTATCTCTTGTACGATTGACAACCTCGAGGAATTCCTACAAAAACCAATATTTTCAATCATTTACCATAACTTGGAAAAGAAAAAGTAGAATGATCCACATCAAGGACTTCCAATCCACAAAACATTCCATTTGAGAATCAATTTTAAACCTAAACTAAGAAGAATCAAATTATATAGCAATTTCTATTCATACATGAAAGATACGTAATAGATCTCTGATTTGCCATTAACTGGGGAAATTTGACAAGGAACTATTTTACCCTCCACTAAACCACCTACTCCTCAGCGAGGCACCAAGTGTCCAACCCTAGTGGTTTCGAAGTGATATGATCCTCGCCCAAACCTCAACTTAATGTCCTGCAAGGCACAAGCATTACCAAACTAATTTGTCGAGGCATTCTCCTTACCGAAGTATGAGGAGTGTCGAGGCACTATACAATAGAGGCTTCTCCCCCACCAGTTTCAGAGATGTATCTTTGTGTCAGAATCCTCGTTATCTTCAAAAATTGATTGATGTGATATCTCAGCCTTATCTCAACTCACAACTCAGAAGAATTAATTATCTGCCCCATCTAGGATGCGCCTGATTGACGCCTACGAGTGGACACCTCGCACCGTCAGATGCGTACACGCGTCCCCACATCCAACGGTACCCCTCACCTATAAATACCAAAGGTCTGACAAGAGAAAAAAATAATGAATCAATCTTTCTAATATACTAGGCTCCACACTCAAGAAAAATATATTCTCCTCCTCACACTCTTACACAATTTCGGCACCATTTCGATCACTATCCACCGACTTGACTATCAAAGTGTATGCGGCCATCGTCACTCCCGTTGGTTCCGACCATATACGCCGGACTGTTTGCTATTGTGCATAGGGAGGAACACGTGGAGTAGCTTTCGGTTGGCCATATGAAGGTTCAATTCGCGAGGTCTACAGATTGGCGCGCATCTATAAAAAATTCATTTTAGAGTTCCTCGTTAACCATCGAAAAACCAGTGACCCTCCTTGAAAAAGGGACGTTTTTGAAAAAAAAATCTCATTCATAATCTATGATCCAGTTCTAAACACCCTTGAAAAAGGAGTTAAAAATAAGTTCTAGCAATGAGGATGCAAATCCTGAAGGACCAAGGGATGCCTCTGAAGAAGAGGTGCTCCGGACAAATGTCACTCACCGCAGACCTCATCATCGACGTCATCGAGGTGAGTGGACAACTGCTACACTCACTGCAGGAATAGCTCTAATAGTTGCAAGCATGAGAGACATTGCAGCTCAAAATGTAGCCATGCATGCAAGCCCAATAGCAGCAAGGCTTCCAAATGCCACTAAGGGGCTACCCAGATTAGGGGTCGCCCCGGCATCTCATAGCCAAGGCCATTTGAGTCATCATGGAGGGGCCCCTATGGAAAGAGAAATAGGGGTTGACGTCACTTCATATCCCCTAGGCACCCAAGTAGCATAGCCTTAGCTGGGGGAAAACTTCCCACTAAAATATGAACAGCAGAGGTCAGTTAGTGTTTTTGACCAAATAGAGCAGAACCCCAGTAGTAGAATTCGCGCCATGCAGAGACCGGCCCAACAAGAACAATAAGAGGAGCAGAAAGCACCTCTTTCGCCTAGAAATCAATGTGAAAGAAGGAACTTGATAGATTGGAGGAGTCAAGAAGGAGCACCTCCACCTCCCCAGGACTTGCTAGAGGAAGATGAATTGGAAGGGCCATGTCAATCTTATGAGATAGATGCTGATGACTGTAACATTCCGAAATTTAAAAATTGGGGCGCTACAGTGACAACCTCCCATTCTTCAGAGAGATTTGAAGCTTCCCGATGCCCACGAACTTCATACCCCCTAAAATCCCACTTAAGAGGGAAAAGGAGACCCACAAAAGCACCTTACCAAATACATAATGCAAATGAGCCTGAGCAAAGCCTCACCGGCATTAAAATGCAAGGCCTTTTATCTGACCCTCGTCGGAGCTGCCAAAGTGTGGTACAATCGACTACCCCCTCTTAGCATTTGGAGTTGATCAAATCTGAAGAAGGCCTTCTTGAATCAATATCTCTCATGAACGAAAGGAGAGGCCTCAGTACAACGCCTACAGGACATGAGATAGGCTCCTGGAGAGATGCTCAAAAGCAATCTCATCAGATTCACTAATGAAATAACTACTGCGAGCAAGTTACAGATAGAAAGGCACTTTCAACCTTAAAAGGGAGCTCAACATGAACACTTTGTTTTGGCGAGATGTGTAAAGCAAGAATCCAACTACTTACGACAAACTGGTAGAGATGATGAGAGTACAGATCATCAATGAAGAGATTATAGATCATTGAAACCATGCAACTAAGGGACTCCCTCCGCCTCAGAGGTAGGTAGGTCAAGGACCAGCAACGAACCTCGTTACCCAACAATGGATCCAGGCAAGACACACAGTAACTACAACATCCGAACAGACCCTGGCCTCTGTCACACTAAACGCAATACTAGTGTTGGCGTATGAAGATGCAACTACTGAATTAAGGACGTCCGAAGGGACAACCAACGCGAACTGACACAAGAAAAAATAGGCAAATCGACCCCTAGAAGGGGCGAAGTACTGTAGCTTCCATCGTTTCTATAGCCAAGACATTAGTGAATGTAGAAACGTTTTATGATCCTCACAGAGAAATAACACACGTTCCTCGAGGCGATCCATCTCTCCCAACAGGGATACACTACAATAACGTGACCAAGCACTTTGGAGAAGGAGACAATACTAGTGTTTGGCGTATGAAGATGCAACTGCTAAATTAAGGACGTCCGAAGGGACAACCAACGCGAATTGACACAAGAAAAAATAGGCAAATCAACCCCTAGAAGGGGTGAAGTACTGTAGCTTCCATCGTTTCTATAGCCAAGACATCAGTGAATATAGAAACGTTTTATGATCCTCACAGAGAAATAACCTACGTTCCTCGAGGCGATCCATCTCTCCCAACAGGGATACACTACAACAGCATGACCAAGCACCTTGGAGAAGGAGACAATACTAGTGTTGGCGTATGAAGATGCAACTGCTGAATTAAGGACGTCCGAAAGGACAACCAATGCGAATTGACACAAGGAAAAATAGGCAAATCGACCCCTAGAAGGGGCGAAGTACTATAGCTTCCATCGTTTCTATAGCCAAGACATTAGTGAATGTAGAAACGTTTTATGATCCTCACAGAGAAATAAACCACGTTCCTCGAGGCGATCCATCTCTCCCAACAAGGATACACTACAACAGCCTGATCAAGCACCTTGGAGAAAGAGACAAAGAACAGAACTTGAAGAGAGTCAAGGTAGAGAAATCAGGCTTCGGATGCTGAAGGAGAGCCTATCCGAGAGATAGACATGATTATTAGAGGCCCTCACATCAGAACCAACACTCATAACGCACAAAGGAACTATGCGATAGAGGCTAAGGATCCTCCGATGACTAATTACATCGTTGACCAATCTGGAGAAGTGAACAGAATGGCATCAATTACATTCTCCCAGGATGATGCACAAGGTGTGCACTACCGCCATTGTGATGCATTGGTGGTCAGGCCTATAGTAGCCCGAAACGAACTGAAACGCATGCTTGTTGACAATGAAAGCTCAGTAAATATACTATTTGGCTCCACCTTTGATAAAATGCAAATTGAACATGGCATGATTCCCATGACCAACCCACTATACGGATTCACTGACGATAGTATCATCTCGCGAGGACGAATCACCTTGGCAATAGAGATGGGATCAGCTCCCTTAATGGCACGTCACTTCATTGAATTCTTGGTAGTAGAACATAGGTCGGCTTACCGTGGAGTATTAGGTTGACCCGTCCTAAAAGAGCTATAAGTTGTCAACTCAATTCACCACTTGTGTATAAAGTTTCCAACTAAATATGGAATAGCTACAGTTTAAGGCGACCAAATGGGCTCGAGAGTGTGTTACTCAACTCTCTACGAAAATCTGATCCCCGCACTGTGAATGTCATTATCACTGACCTTAACACTGAGGCATATGTGGACGAGGAAATGCTCAACGTCTCTAAACAAGGGTATCCTCTGAATAGGAGGAAGACATCAAAATAATCGAGGCTCCTGAAGAGGGATACCCTTTAGATGAATTGGATACCTGGATCATTGAGTCCGAACCAAATGCAATCGCAATGGAAAAGCTGTAATCATTTCCTGCCAACCCTCAAGACCCCACCCAAGTCTTGCGCATAGGGAAGGCTCTACCCTTTGAGATCAAAGAAGAGTTGATGAATTCTCTACAAAGGAACTTGGATATCTTCACATGGAGGCAATATGGTTGGAATAGACCCATAGGTCAGTTGTCATCATTTGAACATCAGCCCCACCTATACACCACATAGGCAGAAAAGGTGATCCCTCAACACAGAGAGGTATGAGACGCTTAAGGAGAAAATCGACAAATTAAAGTGGGTATCCAACCCCATTTTAGTGGCTTCATCAGAGAGGCCATCTACTCAAAGTAGGCATCC